TGGTGATTGGAGAGAATTTCTATGCTTAATGGAAAACAAATATTCATGCTAAAACTGTTAATACCAGAGGACACATTACAAGAAACATCTGGTGTAAGCTGGGGGCCAGTCAAGCAAACTCATCATCAGCAGTCCTAATTTAAATCTACTCTGAGTTTTCTGGGCTTGGGGGGCATCTATGGTCTGGGGCTACTTGCTTGACCTTGCTGAGACCAATAATAGCTAGCATTTATTTTTTTTTTAATTTTATTAATTTATTTTGATTTATCAACAATCACTTCCATATGCTTTTGAGTTGAAAATTTTTCTCCCCCACCCTCCCCAAGACGGCGCACAATCTGATATAGGCTTTACATTTACATTCCTATTAAACATATTTTCACATTAGTGAAGTTGTAAGTAAAAATTAAAACCAGTAAGAGGAACCATCAGAATGATGAAACAAAACTCAACAGAAGGCAAAAATAAGTGATAGTGATTCGACTTCCATAGTTCTTTCTTTGGATGTGGACAGCATTTTCCATCCCGAGGCTTCTGGAGATGCCTTAGATCCTTGTAATGCTGAGAAGGGTTCAGTTTAACAATATTAGTCATTGCATAACGTGGCTGTTATTGTGTACAAAGTTCTCTCGGTTCTGCTCACTTCACTCAGCATCAGACCATATGAGTCTTTCCAGGTTTTTCTGAAGTCAGCCTGTTCATCATTTCTTATAGCACAATAGTATTCCATTACATTCATATACCATAACTTGCTCAGCCATTCCCCAATTGATGGGCATCCTCTCAATTTCCAATTCTTTGCCACCACAAAAAGAGCTGAATAGCTAGCATTTATACAGAGCTTTAAGATTGGCAAAGCACTTTACAAATAATATATAATTTTGTCCTCCCAACAACCCTAGGAGATAGATCCTATGATTTTTCCCATTTTACATATATGGAAACTGAGGCAGACAGATGTTACTTGACTTACTGACTTAAAAGTCTTATAAATTGCTGATTGTTGCCACTGTAGCTTGTGTGTGCATGTGTACATTGTGAAGAGTAGGGAATCTCAGAATTATCAAGTATTCTTCATAATTCCTAATGAAATGCTAGGGACAGATTGGCACAGGGGAACTTGGGGTTGGATACCATATCTGCCACCTTTCCATCTATGTGACCTTTAGCAAGCATTTAACCACACTTGGCCTTAGTTACCTTATATGTGAAATGAGATTAAAATAGAGAATCTCTAAGTGCCCTTTGAGGTTTAAATCTATGATTTTATGAAGTAACTTCCATACTCCTCTCCACTTTATAAATGAGGAAACTGCCCTAAGACCCTACAGTGAGTAAGTTGAAAGATTAGTAGCTGTAAGGATATATTGTTTTTCTAGAAGTCCACAAATGTGTATGAATAAGAAAAGATGTTGGTATGTGTTTTTAGGTGGTTTCATGAAGGTCCTCATTTTCTAAATCAATGATGTCAAACTCAAATAGATATGGGCCCCATATTGACTTAGAAAACCACAAGTTAACATTATTTATGCTGTATTATATTTTTACTTATTTTGTTTAAAATTTCTTAATTACATTTTAATCTGGTTAATTAAGGAGAATATGTGACAGTTATATAATTAATTATATCTGGTTCCACTCAGGAGTTTTTGACTCAGAGTCTGACATCTCTGCTCTGGATGGAGATGCTCTGTGGGCATGGAATTAAACTGTGCCCAGATTAATGCTAACATTATAGTGGGAGAGGTCACTGCACTTCTATCCAGGATCTACACAAAAGCTGATTTTTTTTTCATCCTCTATTCCTTACTTTCATGAGAGAGACCAAGAAGAGCTAAACAAACTGATATCAATGAATTGTTATGATTATTGTTATTTAAAGTGGAGTAGGCTGCTAGTGTCTGCCTAATCTGCTACTACATTTTCTACATCTGTAGCAGTGGGGATTGACCGTGCACTAATCAGGGCCCTGAAATCTGTGCTCTGCCCAAGGGGCTGAATTTCTCTGTATTTGTGGTACTTGTCCTTCAGCAATATAGAAACAAAAGACAACATTTAGATTTTTTTTGAATGGTTAAAATAGGAAGCTTAAAATATATAATATGTCCTTATTTTTAAAAAAGTGTAAATAATTTAAGTAGTGCACTAGGGTAAGTTCTTCCCCTTCCTACTGCTCCTCTCTCTCCACATTGCTTCACATGTTCCAAGGTATCTGTGCCCCCTATACTGGGCGATATCTGGCCCCTTTCTCCCACTTCTGGCCCACAGAAGATGTTGCTAGCCCCGGATGCAACAGTTCCTAGTTTTAGCTATGCTGATTGATGCTCATACTAATCTTACACTGCCTTCTAAATCAAATGATTAAATTGTGCCCAATATTATTTTAGTGTCATGTGTTTTACTGTAATTGAATTATCTGAAATCTGTGACCTTATTTTGTAGCTCAGACTATCCAGTCAAACAGAATATCCTATTTCTCAATCATTCTGGATAAATGTCAGTTTCCTATAATATATTTGAAATTCACCGCAACCAAAACAGACACTCAGAGAAGAAAAGCTGGACAGTGGGTGTCTGTCTTGTTAGTGACTTTTGACATTTGGGTCTATTGAAATAATTTTCTCTGAGGCTTATAACTTGGCAACTGTGGTCCAGAAATTCCCCCTGCAGAATAGCCTATGTGCCAGTTACTACTAATTAGAAGGAGGGTGTGTCTACTATATTTAGAAATATCATTTATCTGAACCTATTTATTTTTTTTAAAAAATCTGCCTCTTCTGACAGTTGCCGAAGACCAGATTCTGCAAACACTTTCTCGGACCCCAATAATAGAGTACATCCATGACTCATGAAATACAGAATAAGGATGCTTGCCTGATTAAATGTGGAGCTTCTGAAATGAGTTGTTCAGTAAAAATGACAACTCTTGAGAAATGCTTTCCTCTGTTTTGCAGCACCGTTTCAGAAAATAACATAACTTCCATTTATAGAACTCCTCAAAAAGGTCTTTCACATACATCTCATTTGATTCTTTCAGAAAAGGCATTATCATAGGCCTAGTTTATAGATTAAAAAGAGCTTGAGCATCAAAGATGGTCATGCAACTAATAAGCAGTGGCAGAGAGTCTGAGCTCAAATCTAGGTCTTCCTGATGGAATGGAAATGACCTTGGATTTGGAGAGAGAGAACCTAGACTTGAACTTCAGCTTTTCCACTTAAAGCCTGTTCGCCTTGGGGCAAGCTCTCAGGGTCTCTATCACTAATTCTAGTAGTGTCTTTACTGTACCATGCTGTCTCTTATAAAAAGGGCTTTCTTCTGAAGGCAAAGCTGAATGTACTTTTACTTAGTGGTTTTGGCCTCCAGATGGAGAAATATGGTTACAAGAGTTAATCATTTTGAATCTCAGCTTCTCTGAGATAGGCCAGATGTGACTACACAGATTTATAGAGTGTGAAATCCAGAACAGATTAGAATAGCAATTTTGTGTTCATTCCCAAACATCCTAAATCAGCACCCCCTGACTGGACCAGAGCAATCTCTGACTGTTCTAGTGAGAAGGTTGCCATGGCAACTGAGTTGTAAGCTTAGCCAACAGAAGCTGAATCCAAACACAACAGACTAGGAGGATTGCATACAGGGCAACTTGCCAGATCTGTTTCTACACAGGTACAATGAAACATCAGAGCTGTAGATTATCAGCTGGAGCGCCAGCAAAATCACAATCAAGCCTGTTTCCAGGCATATGCAAAACACCACCCATTGTTTGACTTCAGTGACTCTGGAAAAATAAGCACTAAGGGATAGGTACACACATCAGGGCTGCTGCCTCACTGCCCCTAGACAGTTCACTGGAGTCCAAACTCCAGAAGTCAATTCTATAGCAGGTAGTGCCACCTGGTGTCCATCTAGCTGCTGGTTTGCATATTATATAGGTTGTGAAGAAGGTGGTAGGCACTCTGTCACCATGACATAGTAGACACAGGTTCCACTTATTCTGAGCTGTGCTTGTGATTCTGATACTTGGGTAACAGAGTCAGAATGGATAGAATGCTGAAGATCTGCCTCAGATACTTAATAGCTGTGTGACTCTGGGCAAATCATTTGACCTTTCATTTCCTCATCTGTAAAATGGAGATAATAAATAGTACCTACCTTTCAGGGGATGTCATGAGGATCAAATGAATTAACACATGTAAAGCACTTTGTAAATTTAAAGCATTATATAAATAAAGCTATTACAATGACTCTGAGTCTCCATTTTGTCATCAGGAAAATGGTCATTGGGTTTACCTCACAGGGCTGCTGTAAAATCCAAAGGGGATGATGGCATATGAAGCTCTTGCAAACTATATGAATGCCATATAGATTTCAATTATTGTTGCTATTACCTGAGGTTATTATTAAAATGGGCACCTGCTGGATATGGAAGCTGAGGAAAACACCATAGAACAAACATTCAAGAAGAGTTAATACCAGATAGTACCAGAGAAAAACAAAGAGCAAGACATTCTGAGTCAAAGCAGATAAGGGCTGTCAAAAGCAAAAGATGAGAATAGTCAAGAAATGCCCAGCATCCTAGCCCTGGAAAGGGGTCCAAGTGGCTGCTATGAGAGAAGAGAGGGAAGAAAAGTCTAGGAAATAGCTAGAGTTGAAGGAAGTTCATGTTTGTTTTAATAAAATGTTTCAAAGAAATAGAAATAGAGCTCTAATTGCCATTCATCACCTTTGGCATAAATGGTTATGTAAAATAAAAAAGGCCTTGAGACATTCCACTTAGCATTTTACTCTTCACTGGCAGCCTGAAGGCACTCAGACATTTGGCATATCTTGTTCAGCCCACCCCATCCCCATCCCTGAAAAGCCAGACAATCAAGTTCAGGTTATCCTGGGGGGCGGGGTGTGGGAGGTGAAATGGAGAAGCCTCATGCAAAGGGCCTGAATTGTGGTCCAGTCCAGACATGTGCAATGAGCATGTTGTGTTTCTGTATTTCTTCTCCAGGGTTTGAATTTTTTGAAACAAGTGCCAAGGACAACATAAATGTCAAGCAGACATTTGAGCGCCTCGTGGATATCATCTGTGACAAAATGTCAGAAAGTTTGGAGACAGATCCTGCCATCGCGGCTGGAAAGCAGAATACAAGACTCAAAGAATCCCCACCACCACAGCAGCCCAACTGTGGCTGTTAATGGAGCCGCTGGCCAAGGCAGCACTAGTGCGTTCTATTGCCAAAAAACAGCATCCGTAAATGGTCTATTAGCCTTTATTTATACTGTCTATTAATTTATTTGAGGGAAGTCCTTGATGTCAATGGGTGATATGTGCATACAGCTCTTTGGAAATTTCCTGTGTCAATACGTGGCAAATACATGATCTTAAATTTGTAAGGATTATCCATTTATCAACCTCTGATATCTGCATGTGAATAGTTGTTTGTTCGTCTTCTGAGTCTTTTACTTTTTTTTTTAAGGTTATACTAGATTCATCTGGTGCCATGACGTCAGACTATAATTTTACTGCTGCTTCTGATTGCTTCATCAAATTCAAATTATGCTGCTCATGATCACTCTGTGGGGCAATGATAGGGTATCCTTGGTGGGGGTGGGGAGAGTAGAAAAGAAGGCAACAAAGCCTCTGTGTTTTGTTTGCTTTCCTCTTGACTAAAAATCAATTCTGAAATATTACTGGTAATTAAGGAGACAGTCACTGGGGCTGGTTATCTTACGTATTAAGCAATGTGTCCATTTTTCACTGATATTAAAACTAAGGGGAATATTGATTCTAAAGAAATACAAATATTATTTCCATAACCCTCAGGTGTTGTATGAGGTTCAGTGGTTAACCTGGCAGAAAATTGAATTTAAATAACTATTTGTTTCTTGTTGTTGTTAAAACAGCTACTGCTACAACAAAATGAAACATGCCACCTTTGCTTAAAACGAGGCTAAACCATGGCAACTGTTTCTACTGGTTTTATGCATCACTCTGAATGATTGGGTCACTGGGTAAATGGAGGCATGATTATGGAATTCCATAGCTCTGCAGAAAGCACTTTGACTGAGACAAGGTGAATTGTTGAGGCCTCCGATGTGTTAGACAAAACTACCCTTCCTTTCCCTCTCCCCTCCCATTTCCCCTCACCCAATCTGGAACAAACCCATTCATCTGGGCCTGGGTCAACTCAGTCAGCATTCAGGTCAAGCAGTTCTGACTGTAGGATCAGTGAGAGCTTGAGGGCACAAGGATTAAGGTTCGAGTTTTGTCTTCCGATCTGGGAAAACCTTTTCTCTGCCTTCTTACCGCTTGTTTCTATGGTTGTCTCAGAAGTCTTTTTGTTTGGGGAGGACATGTTTAGGTGGTTTCTGAAACCAATCTGGGCCTTCCCTTCAAGATGATTTGGGTGATGCAAACATGGCTTCCAAGAGATGAAACAGAGCTTACCTCTGCCTTCAAGGCCTGGATGTTTGGAATACTGGCACCCCACCTTATCTCCATCTTCATACCATGGGGCTTCACAAACCAAAAAAAAAAAGTGTTAATTAACTAAAAGATCTTGAAGACATTCTCTAGAGCTCAGTTTTGTGCATATTGTTTCACAAATATTTTGAAGGAAGAAGAGGAGCCAAATGCCTAGATCCCTACTCCCAAGTGTCCCAGATTTTTTGAAGATGTAGATGTTAATGGCCTACAACCCACTGTGTTAAGTATAACAATTCCATATCTCATTGTGCTTGCTTATTGACAACTAGGATCTGTGAGGGATATAGGAAGACAGGACCCTTATTAAGGGTTTGGAAGACAGTTCTATTAGGGAGCTTGCAATTTGTTTAGTTTTGCCACCTGAGGAGGTGATTATTAACCTAGGATATGTGGGATTCTTTACAGAGTGAAAGGATTCTTTGCTTTTACTGTGGAATCATACCCAGCATGAATTTCAAAATCAGAGACCCTTCCTCTGACAGGGTTTCATGGGTGTGTGTGAGTGTGTGTGTGTGTGTGTGTGTGTGTGTGTGTGTGTGTGTGGTCCAGAAAAGCCATAGATAGAAGAAAAACTGGCCACAGTTTTTTTTTCCTGAAAGGGCTCAGAAAACATTTAAAAAAACTCACGTCATCTAGAATTGGGTCTTATAATTCAGTTGAAAATCAAAGGTTATGGATAACCAGAGTTAAAAGTTAGAAATATTTTTTACTTCACTGATTTCTGCATCAGCAGTTTATTATGCCCTTAATTAATGGTAATGTCTCCATTTGACAACCTGCAAGGTATCTCTGGACCATAAAGAAACATTTGCTTTTCACTGTTTTATATAGCAATGATTGTTTTTGAATGCTTTGAACTCTTCAAGGTGAAGAGAAAGCTAGTTTGGGAATACAACAGGTAGGTTTGCAACTGCATGACCAGGTTTCTCAACATCAGAATCACAGTACTTATTAACAGCTGCATTTGTGTGTGACTTGCTAGATATTGCTGGACAGTTGAAAAAAAATAGTTCCTGGCCTTGAGTTACTTTTACAATCTATGAAATAACAAAAATAAGACATGCTTTTTTTTTTACCTTTAAATACAAAAGAATTAGAGATGGCATTTTAGACAGACATTTTGGAGGGACCATTTCCTCTGCATTAAAATGAGAGAGTAAAGGGCACAGCATCAGGCTCATAGTAGACACCTTATAAATGTTTGCTGAATACATGATATCGTAAAGGAAAATGGTCCAGTTTTCCCGTTTTGGATGTCCCCTTCCCTGCAAACAAAATACCAAATGTCAATGGAAACAGACTCCCTCTTGGAGCAGGTAGTCAGGAGTGAGATGCCCTGTGTCTATACCATGCTAAACATCACATGTGTGAGTTTAGAGGCCTGGGTACCTGCAGTCTGTCTCTTTACTAAGGAGCGTTTGACCTTGCTACTATAGATGCAACTACTACTACCCACTTTCATTCAGCTGTGAATTTCCCAAACACGGATGGATTCTGAGCTATTCTTTCTCACCTTCCATTATGCAGCTCAAATCCCAGGGTAGATTCAGTTTTTTATAGTTGAATGGAAAGTGTCAAGAGCTGGTTGGCACCGCCCTGAAATGAGTTGCAAAACCCATGAGAAATGCCGGATTGTGGTTATTTTAGTGGTTTTTTTTCTTTTACTCCTGGTCTTATCCAGAGGTCCTGGCTTTAAAACCAAACACAACACATGGAGAAACTGGCTTGAAGTGAATTGAGTGAGTTTCTATAAACAATGTCCTACGTTTTATGTAATATATGATTTTCTATCCCCATGGTTTTATAATCTAGTTCTCTCCTTTTTACCCCAGAGAGTGTTAACTGTTCACTTAACTTGACTTATTTAGGGAAATAACTTGATGTGTGTACATATATTCCTTAGTTGCCAGAAACTTAGGTAATGTCAGCTACAGAACTGTTGGACATTTGTATCTCAGAGACTATTAAGGACAGTCACTTGGGAGGTATAGCATATTTGGGGCCTGTGGATAGCTACTGGCACAGCCTCAGTTCACATCCTTTCCTGCCATGTGTATTGATGTTAGCATGTCATAGAAGTCCTCATGTTGGAGACTAGAAGACCTGAATTCAAATCTTGCCTCTTGACATGTACTGATTAAGTGACCTAGTAAATCATTTAACTCCTCAACATCCTAGGCAACTCTCTCAAACCATCAGTTGCAGAGAAGGTGCCAATATGCATTGGAAAAGGCAGTTTCCTCACCCAGGAATTCCCTTTACCAATGAAATCACTCATCTAGTCCCTATACCTATGTAAATACATTAGACAGATACTTTTTACTTTATTCCAAGCCTCAATTGTTTACCTGTAAGGGAGAGAATGAGGATAAGAACATGTATGCAAAATAACTTGAATTTAAATTGGAAAAGACTCTAAACTCCTCAGAAAAGTCTGCTGTTGCACTGTTAGGTAGAGGTAGGGTTTTTTTAGACCTCTTCTGACCCTCCCCTCACCCCAAAGTAAAGTAAAATAAAATAAAATATATGCAACCCAACTATGAGAAAGCAATGCTGCCAAACAGTAATTTTTTTTTAAAGAATGCTATGCCTGCTTTTATATACTTCAGTCCTGGCTTTCATTTTCTGCTCATCACCTCTGGGATGAGTCAGACCACACTTCACAAGTGAATCTACCTAATTCTCTCCATCCCCCTCCAAAAGAGAGACAGAGACAGACAAACAGAGAGCTAGAGACAGACAGACAAAGCTCAAGTATTTCAGAAATATATTTCTAAGAGCCTGAATACTGATCTAGTGAATATGCAGGACTGGACATCTACTACCTAATCATCTCATCAAATAACCACATGTATGGAGATCTCAGCACTGCTGTGTTCAAGCCTGGATGGGTCTGAAGGTACATGAGATATTTTCTTCAACTAAGTTTTAAGATGATAATGAAGCTTGTCTTCTGTAGACATTAAACAAGATTTGCTTTGAGCCGGCTCAACTGATCCCTCCCTAGTCTACCCAAAAGATTCATCTTGCTGCCACTGCTCTTTCTCTGAACAACCTCTACTTCCCTGATGGATTTTTAAGGCATCAGGATTAAAGGGTTTTCAGAAAAATGGTCCACTTCCTATGAATTCCTTTCTGCTGCAACATCATTAGGCATATGTATCAGTGTTGCGATTTTTATTTTTAAAGGAAACTGAGTGTGCCTTCCTTTGTGAACAAATGATAGCATTAACATATGGTAAATGTGGAATGCAACAGCTATAAAATTACCACCTAATTACATGGGAGACCAATAATTAGAATACACCAATATATATTTTTATGTTTTACCTTTATGCAGATAATTTGTAGACGTTTTAGTCAGAGTATTACCTTGCCTTTTACTTGGGGTGTGTGTGTGTGTGTGTGTGTGTGTTATGTATACACATGTGTATTGTGGGGGTACCTATTTAAATCTCTGGAACTTGTTACATAACTTTGTAAATGAAGTCCATTCCTCATGCTCATTCCACTCACCCGACTTGGGTCCTATGCTTCAAGTTGAACTTTCATAAAGTAACATCTCCTGCAGACAATCATTACCAAACCCTGGCTCATTACCTAGTGCTTTATCCCAGGGTAGGTGTCTTAGTGCATGATCATAATATAGTATGCAGTCATCGTATGCTAGACAGAAATGCTGCAACATGAGTTTAATCAAGCCAGCAGCATTTGTGTGACTACAGCACCCATTTATTAGAAAGATATCTGAGCCCTAACAAACTAAGGTAGCAACCCCATGCATAGAACCATAATCCAAGTTGCATTGTAAAAGTCCTCATAGTCCCCAAAGTCCCTTTGTGTGCACGCATGTTGATATTTCTAGATCTGAAAGGGCTTTCCCTGTGTGCATGACTATTGATTGAAGCTCTGCTCCAATTAGAGTGTAGAATATGATACTGCTTGAACAACCAAATCTCAAAAGCCTTTTCAACCAGACATTAGGAAGATCAAGTCTTTGTTCAGCTCTGCCTACCCAGGTGCAACACACCTTATTTAATTTAGAGAGAGAGCATTATGGAGTTTCTGGTGAGCACAGGCTTTTGGTATTGGGTCCAGCATTGAGACTGATTTTGATTTCAGGTAGACTTCTGGGCAGCCAAGTCTAAATCACAGCCCAGGATTGGATTAGGACATTGGAGAGATGAGGAAGCAGATGGCCCTAACACCCCATATTAAGCATCCCAGGCTTCAGGACCTCCCACTCCCCCAGGAGAAAATTTATGCCTTTCTGCCTGGTGGGCTCATCTAACTCTGCCCACCCCACTTATCCTCCTCCTTTCAATGTTAAGTGATGGTTCTCCCTAGAAAACTTCAAAAGAAATATTTCAAAGTGAGAATCAAAAGATCTGTTCCTTGAAAAAAATTAAAGATTCCCTTTTCAACCACCTTCCCCACTTTAAAAAATAGAAACAATTCTATGAAGGGTAGTTACAGTGAAAAAGAGGGGATAACTTCAAGTTCTTCTCAATCCATAAAAGATCCATTACATTCCTACTACAATTTCTTCTTTAAGCAAAACAGATAAATGTGGCTTGTCTCTTGTTGCTGACTTAATAGGGAGGGGAGGGCAGCTTTAGCTTCAGGGTTAAACTATGCAAAGACCAGTCAGTTTTCATTTAACTGAAATGCTGCCTGGGACAGGACTTCTGTCTAAGTAAAGAACCCTGATGTGGGGCTGCAGCAATGGGTCTCAATTATGGGTTGATTTGATGTGATTATACACAGTGTTCACATGTGCATAACCAACTCCCACTGAGTGCAGAAGGTAGAAGGAAGACAAGGAATGCCAATAATATTCTAGAGAATGCAAGGGAATTTTTTCTGGCCCTCCAATTTATGTTTTAAAATGAACATTTTTTTCAGGGCACAAAATTCAAATTACATTTACATCTTATTAGCACCTATTCATTTCCAGAAAACATGGAAATTTATTAGTAAAATGAATTTGAGGGATTATCTGTGCATTTAATTAATAAATGTAATCCTTGCTTGCCACTATTGCTGATAATTCAGAGTTAGTTGTAGTCCTCTTCCACCCACCCCAAACTTCTCAATTCCTGATTTTTGTCAAACTGGGACCCTCTTGGGTCAAGTCCGCAGGCCCTAGGAATGCTGCTCTTAGAGACAGCATGAGCAGATGGTCTGCGGTTTGCACACAGATACCTGGCATTTCAGAGGAGAGAATGTGTCCTAATGTTGTCTAGCAGTTTTCATGTCATGAAAACAAAATCTGGTAATCACTTGCTGTTTCACTGAATGGCTTGCCACAGGTAGTCCCCCTGTCCCTGTGAATGAATGTGGAACAAAAACTGTTTGTCCTATAATTCCTGTTAATATATTGTTGTCAGACGTGATGTGCTACTTTTTGAATTGTCAGAACGTGCAACTATTTAATGGTGTTTGTGGAACTGAAGTGTCTTAAATGTTGCATGAAATATGTTATAAAAATAAATTTGTTTTCTATTTTTCAACACCTCTAAATTGAGGGTTCATGGGCCAATAAGTGCAATATTTAATGACTTACTCAGTGTATATAAACTAGTGTGAAAGGATGAATTCTAATGAATGCTTGGGGTGTGATTGCTGGTTGAGTGACTGATACAAAAGATTTATTGTAGTTGTGTATGTCTAGTGGTGTGTTTTATACAGAAAATACTTTTATTGGTGTTCCATGAGACTTCCATGCCTCACCTCAACTATTCTTCCTATAGAAGGCAAAACTTTCCCAGGTGCACATCAGTTTTATCTTTTACATTTGTGGGTATTCTTTTCCAAACAGAATGACAGTAGAATGCTGTTTTTGTTGAGTAGGGTTTTTTTGGGGGGAGGGGGGGAACAGGGGAAGAGGAGTAACTGTGAAGGTTTGTTTTTTCCCCCTAAGCCCAAAGTTGTCCTTTAGTTTCTGGTTGGATGATGCAAATTATTGATAAATACTAAATCCAGTGACCCAGGAAAAATTAAATACTGCTCTTCAGGGAAGGAGAAACTTGGTCTTTGAATGACTGATGACATACTTTGTCTTCTAAGAATTTTTACTATTACAATTATTTTTGTTTTCACGGTTACAATTATTCAATAATATGGTAGGTTCCCCCTCCCCACCCTGCTCAACACACACACTAGGAACCTTGGACAGAGCATTCTCTTAGATGGTATGGGGTATAATCACTGTCATTCATTGTCCACACTAATGAAAACTTGAGACTCAGAGCATCTTTAAATATTTTGGAAGGTAGTCGATAACCACTGTCCCTACTCATTCACCTTTGGTTTTCCATATCTTAGCTAGCTTCTCAGCTTTTGGCCTGGAGTTTCATTAAAGAGCAAAGAGAGCCACTCTGTTTACAAATAACTCATTTACAGAATAACGAATTGCCCGTAATTTAGTTACCTGGAGTACAAATGCAAAGTACACCAACTACCTTAAACTCTTATTTCCCTTATGCTACTTCAGTCCTAAGAAATGAATAAATCAGATCTTTGTGCAATACTTCTAGTCAACACAATAAGTCCCATTAAAGGAAATTTGGTGTAGTGGATAGAGTAGCCTCAGGGTCAGGAAGACCTGAGTTCAAGTCCCACTTCTGATGCACACTAACTAGTGGCCCTGGGCTTTCTGTAGCCCAGGAAACTTTCTAAGACTGTAAGTCCCAGATGAATGGCTATTCTGTACCCATGGAGGGAGTTTCCACTCTGGGAGTTTCTCACATGGATAAGATTGCAGATCTAGACTCCCCTCTTCCCCTAAAAAAAAAAAAATGATGTCTTATGCTCTTCAGAACAGTAGTAAATTTTCTGTGATACACTGAAACTATTGCAGGATAAGTTGTTTCTCCTTTGATCCATAAACATCTCTAAACAATTATACCTTGTGTTTTCCCTGACACATCATAAAATGGGAACCTAAAGGCAGCAAATTGCTTTAAACCATGTTGGCCAATCCCAAGGATTAGCCAAACCACTGTGAAATTGTTCCTTGCATTTTGTACCTAGTCCTCAACTGCACTGAATAAAGTGTACACAAAATAAAAGATAATAGGAAACTTGTACCCCATCCTACCCCCTACGCCCTGAAAAAAAAAAGTAGAGAATCTTAGGAATAGACAGGTTCTTATTTTAAAGATGCAGACAAAGAATTTAATAGACTACATAAATTTATTCAGCACCTACTACTTGTTCAGCACAGTATCCAGCATTATGGAACAGCAAAGCATAAAATATGGTCTGGGACATCAAATTTACAATTAAGTTGGAAAGTCAAGAATTATGGCTACAATGACACTTAGCACACAATACAAGATAGTAGCTAGTACAGACCACAAGTGTGTAGGCTGTGAGGAGTCCATTAGGGATAGAATACTGAGGAACAGCTTCATGCAGACAGCAGGATGATCCAGGCTTTGAATGAGTGGAGATAGCTAGGGAGATAGAAGGGAGAAGTGTTCTAAGTAGTAGAAGTAAGCAAAGTCTTACAGTCATAGCAGAAGTGATCCAATTGGCTTTCTAAAGAATCCTTGAATTATCTATTCAGTTTAACTGTCTCAGCTGACCCAGTGAATTCAATAGGAAGGAAATCTTACCATTCTAGTCTACAAGGTAGGCCCAGTGGCTGGCAGAAAATGTGGACTGCTTCCAAACAAGTCTTTAAGCATGGCAGCAAATGGCTTTCTTCCCTTGCTAATGCAATTATCCAAGAGATCCAAGGTAATATGACTTAGACAAGCATATTATGGTATCCATTATTTGACTATAATGCTGTATGACTATGAAATGGGGAAAGGGGGTAGGCTAAGACCAAATGGCTCCTTTTACAGCACTTTCAGTTTCTTGTCAAAGATGGATTTTTCTGAATTGTTTTTAAGAAAATGTTATACTACTCACTTCTAATATATGTGTGGTGGTTGTGATCCAACTCTTACTACTGCCATATAGTGATTGTGATTTTAAATTGTGAGTTTAAACACACTGCTGAGTAGCAAATGTCATGGCTCTTCTTATGTCCACAGGAATTCTTGTCTGGATGTAAATCAATGAGATTTCTTCACATGTGGAGTTTTAATTCTTTGTTGAAATTAGTTCTGTAAAAACTGTGTGTGCTACATTGGGTGTTCAGTTTGTTTGTGAATTCTGTAGAACAAAATGTCTTTTGTTCATTGGATTTATTTTATTTTTTGGAGATGACAATAAATATCTGAGAGACTATATTCCTGAACTTTCTAGTCTTGGTCGATTGCTTTTTTTCTGCACATGGCCATTTTTTGCAGGCCTCAACCCCAGAAAGAAAGTGGTGCTTCCTGACATCATCTTCCTGTGGTCCTGCACACACCATTGAAGTTCAAAGGAGACCTAGGGTCACAGGTAAAAAAGGAAGAAAATTTTAGATAAGAAACATAGGGAAAATGGAAGAGGGGAGTAGACAGAATGGTGGATCCCACCATTATCTTGACATAACATCTCATAACTGCAACTTTGCATGGCCAATTTGCTCTGCTCAGAAAGCCCTATACTTCAGAGCTCCCAAGTCCCCAGCTGATAAGAGCATTAAGTCAGGGCTGCCATGGTGAGACTGTGTCCATGTGTCCATGTGTCCATGGAAGTTGAAGATTGGCTCTGATGCTTCATCTTGACACTCATTTACGCAGCCAGTAATGCTCTCAACCATCTTCTCTCTTTCCATGACCATTCTTACATGCATGCACATGCGCACACACATAGCATTAGATAAAAGTTGTTGTATGGATGGCCTTGTTCGAGATGACACACTGGCTGATTCACTGATAAGCAGATGGACAGGTTCTCCCTGGGTTCTTATGTCAGTGCTTTATTGAGCACTCTCTAAAAAACTCCTAGAATGATGAGACCAAGCCAGAGGAGACCTGCCTCTGACACTTAGAATATAGATTCAAGAGTTAGTCCAACACTTTTATTTTGCAGATGAGAAAACTGAATCTTGGAAAGGTGAAATGACTTGCCCAAAGTTACATGGTAAAAGCCAAAGCTGAGATTTGAACCCAGATCCTCTAACTAAAGACCCAGCAATCTTTCCATTGTACCTTCTAGCTATGTTACCATAGGCAAGTTGCTTAGCCTCTTTAAGCCACAGCTTCCTTATCTATAAAACATGGAAAATAATACCTGTAGTTTCCTACCTTGTAGAGTTGACACGAGGATCAATTGAGATAACTTACGTAAAACATTCTGCAAACCTTAAAAGCACATTTTCATTTTGTTCCCAGCTCAAATTGGACCCCCAGCCTCCAAGCATTTCATCTCAGAGTCAACTATGGCCCCCCTGCTAAAAATTATCCTAGTGGGGTTAAAAGGCCTCCATGCATCTTGATTGAGTAAATTACAGGAACCATGTCAATAGCCCATGAATAGGTTTGGTTTCAAAGTTCACCAATCAAGTAATATGCAACCAGCTGGGGCAGCTAACATAGTAGCTACAATGCTGGGCCTGGAGTCAGGAATACCTGCATTCAAATTCAGCCTCAGATTTCCTAGCTATATGAACCTAGGCAAGTCACTTATGTTCTATCTTCCTCAGTTTCCTTATCTATAAAATGGGGATAATAATAGCTCCTACCTCCCAGAGTTCTTATGAGGATCAAATGATGTAATATTTGCAAAGTACTTAACACAGTCCCTGGTGCACAGTAGGTGCCATATAAATGTTTCTTTTCCTCTTCCTTTCCTTTGCAAGAAAGCAAAAGCCGCCAGAAGAAATGCTTAAACTGCTTTGAATTGAGAGGGGAAGGAAGATGGTAGAATCAGCTGGATTGGTGCTGGTTAAAACTAATATATTGGTTTAATGTAGTCATCCTAAAGACTATGAAATTGGCTGCTTTGACTATTTCTGTTTTTCACACTTTCCATTGATCTTGGGTCTATCATGAAGACACAGTCTTAAGAACAACTCTTATGATGTAGAACTTGAGTTCCATGCTCCGAATGACTTGATATGGGACTCATCAATAGCTGATAATTGCCTATAATTAAGAGTAGTTCAAATTTAATGTATCTGCAATTGATAATTAACAAATAAAAAAGTGATGTCACCCAATGCCCAAATCCAGAGTTGTAATGAAGGTGGGGTGATTGGAAGTCTGTCTCAGGGAACCACCATCCAAAGAAGTATACCCCTACTCCCCTCCTCCCACTTCCTGCTCTTCTATCAGCCTGTGGTCTCACCACAATCCAAGGACCCCTTTACAATGTCACCCCTCTGAAAGGCCTACTTTTCTGATCCTGCAGGCAAAAGATTCTTTGGGATGTGGAAAACCCCGCTCCTGACACAACTGTACTAATAATTGGACTGTCCTCTGTACTACTACCCCCCTCCCCATTCCCATCTCTGTTTTTGCTCTGAGTTTTTGCTCTCAGTCCAAATATAATCAATATGGACAAACAGCACAGATAAGAAAACACAATAAAATTTTGTGTTTCACTTTTAATGACTACTTTGAGAATTATTTCAATACCATGGTTATTCCTTCTTTGGGGACACATTACAACTATTATAATATATACCTTAGTAGATAATCTTCAAAGGTTGCTATGTTCCGCTCCCTCCCAAAGTAGCACCTACTTGTGACGAACCATTCTGAAATTAGATAGGACAGCTTCTTGATCATTCAACGACACAGAGTCAAATGGTAAACACCCATACCTGAAGTCTTGTCTAACTTGATAGAACCTCTTACTGTTCTCTGTGGTATAACCTTTGAGAAAGATGTTCCTCTCCAGACCACAGCCTCAGAGTAAGACTTTAACATGGAGTTTTATTTTGAATTAGTCTCCAAAAATTGCTTCCTGAAAACTTCATTAAAAATTGATTGGCTTAAGAAATTCATTTTCCCCTGAAACCTTGACCTAAGCCCTACATTGAATGAAAGACATTGCTAGAGCTGAGGTGAATAGAAATGAGAAGAGAGGCCAGTACCAAGAGCAATGGCTGGAGATAGGCTTGGCATGCACCAGAGCTCTCTTTCTTGGAGAATTCTCTGCCTTGGCATATGGTTGCCTAGTATATGCCTCATCAAAACTTCCCAGGAGTGTTTAGCTGACAACCTGGAATTCAGGAAGCAGACAAAAGAACTAAAAACAAAAAGAAAAATATTTCTCTATAATTGTGCAATAGATACTCATAAGGATGACTGAAAAATCCTGGGAAGTTTCAGCCCCTTGTGTAGAAGAAGGCTGAAAAGGGCATGTCAATGGTTTCTATGGTCCAATTTTTCTGGAGCCAGAGGTCTTAAGGTTCAGTTATCTTACAGATATCTGTTGGCAGAATGATTTGTTCGTACTCTCAATGTTTCCAGATTATTGTTGCTGTTTTATGGGAAAATATGTGTTTAAATTTAATTTTAATACATTCATTAGGAGAAAGTTGTAGCTCAAGTAATATAATGAAAATTTCTTTCTGAAATTGAAGGACTGCTTAACAGTTTAACTTTTTTAGAAATCTGGAATTTTCACACCTCCAATTTTGCTGTCTCCAGTAGTTTGTTATACAAGTCAGATGTTTTTACTTTTTTTAAAATTTTAATAGCATCTTATTTTTCCCAATTATATATAAAGAAAATTTTTAGCATTCATTTTTACACAATCTTGAATTCCAAATTTTTCTCCCTCCCTTACCCTCTTCCTAAAACTTGATATAGGTTATATATATGCAATCACATAAAACATATTTCTATATTAGTCACAATTATGAAAGAAGAAACAGACCAAAAGGGGGAAAAAACATGAAAAAAGGTGAAAATAATAGTCATACGTGTTTTTAGCAGGCCTGGGGATTTTACCTCCTTGACTTTATTTCTTTTAGACTCCTTTGAAACCCGTCAGAAAGGCAAGGCAGTGCAGCTGAAAGGACATTAAACTGGGAGTCACAAGGGCCAAATTCAAATTACAGCTCTGCCATTTACTGTCTTATGACAGGGACCTCAAGCAAGTCATTTTCCTTCTTGGGGCCTTAGTTTCCCAATCTGTAGAATGGGAAGAAGGGAGTTGTATGAGACAGTTCCTTGCAGCCTAGGTCTTTTTCCCTCAAGTCATGTTTTGGTAACCCTATTTAAGTTAATGTACTGTGAGTTGAATGTGGGAATCTTTACAATTCAAGCCCATACTCTTAAGACTCTGTTTGCAGCAGTTATTAATTACTTCCTGCCCTAATTTTTTTTTACTGGCTTTAGAGGGAGCAGAGCTTCTGGTAAATCCTATTGGTGAAGTCAGCTACAAGAGCATTCTTTTGAGAATTGAGGTGGTAGGAGTTGTTTAAAATTGATCATTGATTTTTTTTTCCTTCCCATTTCCCAATACTGTATGGGGAGGGGGTAGAAGTAGGACAGGGGGTAAGTGGGTCAACTTCCCAAGGCAGATGACAACAAAAGAGCCAGTTGAGTTTTAATAAAAGAAAAAGTAGTTAAGTTTTTAGTAAGTGGGTGATAAGGCCTCTCAGGGAAACTGGCTCACACTGGGGTATTATATTGCTGTAACTACTCTCATCAAACTAGAAAACAGTTTCCAAGGAGAAGGGAAGAAGGCAGGAGTGCTTCTGAAAGGCTGACAGCTGCTTCTTTATAATTTTGGCTGTGAGATACCAAGGATGATCCTTTTTCAGTGGTCAGAATAACCTCTAAGTCACAGCCAATTAAGATATCCACTGACATTCTCCCTTTTGCCTCTATTCCTTGGCCATAAGAGTTGAAAGTGACAAATCATCGAATAAGTATCAAACTGAATTGAAAAGGACATTCATTGCATGTTCTAAAAGAGAATTTCAGGATGTTTTAATGCGGAGGCAGGAAGTCATTACCAAAGATTAAGGAAAGAAAAAAGTTCTCATTCTCCTAAGAACACCTACTGGCACATCGGCAGCAGGAGTGCTGTCTTTTCTGAGTTGGAGGTATTTTTTTTTCTTTGAGAGTCCAAGAAAGAACCTGCAAGTAGGAACTCAGAAGCTGATGTCACATGAGTTTGGAAAGCCAATGAAGATCTCTGGTGACTTGAGTTCTAAACTTGGCAAAGTAAATCAAAAGACTTTTTTGAAAAGAACTTTGAAAAGTCTTCCAGACAAGTCTTTTTATTCTGCTTTCTCCAATTCAGGCACCCCACATGTTTTCCTGATTTTTCATTAAAAAAAAATATTCTACAGAGAGCTACAATCTCCCATGTTACCAATTTAACAATAATAAGTCATTTACTTAGCAT